AAAGCGGAGGGGGGCAAAATTTGGGAGGTTTCATGAGTGAAAAGCATGAGGTTTTTCTCACTAAAGTTTACTTATCCCCCCCTTTGTGTGTCTCCCCCCTTGATTTATTTGTTACAGGTAACGTACAAATGGCTAAGTTACACCCTGGGAGTTCACGTCAACCAGGCCAAGCAGTAGGTATCGCCCCACAAACCCTTTCGCCATGGGCAAAGCCTTAATTATTTGCTGTTTTCACGCTTAACAATGAACATATTAAAAAAAAACAGGCCCTTTGGGTGTATTTAAAACCTTACACACCCTCTCAGATATTGTTGGTGATGTTATTTAACCCGCCTCACACGCTCCTCCCAGAGGCAGCACTTGCCTTGACTTTAATGAGTGTTGTGTTTTAGAGAAAATCTGATTAGCGCTCTCTGATTACCCTGCTGCTTAATGTGGGCCCTATTATAAATAGGTGTTTCTCAGGCTTGGTAATGAGGGTAGCTAAATATTTGAAATATGAAAGGAAAGTCAGCTGTTTTGTCAGAATATTTTTACCTCTCTGAATTTTACAAAAAGTGTAACCTTCCGTCTGTGTTTTTCAAGGAATAGAAATTATTGAAATCATTTCACTTTGTTTTATAGAATCCCTTGAAGGTTAATGTTATTACACTGAAGGATCCAGAGGCTGTTTCTACACAGCCAGGTCACTTTAAGCATGAGGCCTGTGACTATCTAAGCTTTTGAAGTGCCATAACACTTGAGGAAGGTGTCAAGGTTCCATTTAACGCAGCTATTTTAATGAGGATTAATTTGTGCAAAATTTTTCCATATCAAAGTGGTTTTGCTCATCTGCTTATCTCCAGCGTAGCCTTAAGCTACGCTGAAGGGGTGCTGCTGGGCTCTCTCTCTTTTCTGCAGTTAACACTGGTGTCTTTTGTTGTGCAGGATGTTGTACGATTACGTCGAAAGGAAACGAAAGGAGAATTCGGGAGCTCAGCTTCACGTCACCTATTTAGTAGCAGGAAATCTGATTCAGAATGGACATACGGTGAGTGCTTTGTTTCTCGAGGTGTCTGTGAGCTCTTTTGTTCATGTTTTTCCATTTTTGTTTTGTAATCAGGGCTCAAAAGCTGAAGAACTTGCTGTCTTTTTCCAGGAACAGGCAGGATGTCTTGCGTGCCTGTAGGAAAGACAATTCCACCTCTGTCTGAAAACACAAATGCCAATAAGATCAATTGATTATGATATGACAATATACTGTTGAATAATGCATCAGGGTTTTATTTAATTGATTTAAATCCTTTCCCCAGTTATTCTTCAATCCTATCTTTGTTACTAAAGAGGCAGTTTCAGAAAACAGTCTGGAAGGGCCCTTGTGAAGTCAGCTAATCTGTCTGCTAGGATGTGCAAACTTATTATGTTTTTAGAAACCTTGTCATTCAATTAAAGTATCTTACTACCTACTACAAGTTTTCTAATCTGGTATATGAGAGAAATTTACCTTTGTCAATCGTGTTTTGTGTTTAAAATGAATTCATTTATTAAGCAAAGTTGTTACTAGATGTAAAGAACACTGTTGTTTGCAGTCACTGCTTGTCAGATTGTCCAAAATGTCATCTGAAATTTCAAACAGGTCCCCCAAGGGGTTTGGAAAGAAGAGAGGCAAGTTAAATGCCTTTGCCCTCCTGGGGATTTAATAACCAAGCACTAAATGCCTTTGATATTCAGCTGGGTGTCTGCCTGGGTCTTTAGATACCCAAATATCTCATACAGTGCAGTCCATAGCCTTCATTTGGAGTTAGTATCTTGGTGTGTAATTGGCCTGTGGTTGTAATTGTAAAGATTAGTTTTCTTATTCTTAAATAATAAGTCAGTCCATATGTATAGAATGTTCTCTTTACATCTCCAAATTAGCCTGGGACTGAAGGTAATTATTTATTGCATTAGTTCTGGACAACGAAATATATTTGTTTGCTGCTACACAGATGCTGTTAGGTTTGAAACCTGGAGGTTTCCAATTATTTCCTTTGGAAATAACAAGGTAGACAGTCTTGTTGATGAACTTTTGTTTAGTTGGTTTCATTTTGTTTTTATTTTGTTTTTAACTTGCCGTAATGTATTTAAAGCAAATAAATTAATAAAAAAAGTCCTGACCTAAGTTACAGTTATTTTTAACTTAAATCTTAGCAATTTCTGTGTTCTTTTTAATAAGAAAGACCTACAAAACTGAACAATAAAAGTCTGGCATTTAAAGCAAATAAATTAATAAAAAAAAGTCCTGACCTAAGTTACAGATATTTTTTAACTTCAATCTTAGCAATTTCTGTATTGTTTTTAATAAGAAAGACTTAACAAAACTGATCGATAAAAGTCTGGCTTTTTTTTTTTCTCCTGCTTTTAAAGCTCTTATTTTTGAATGCTACGTTATATTTTAAAGCATGCAGTCTGAGTGGCTGCTAAGAGAACTGACCTACAGTGGCAGTTGGTTTTTAGGGGCAGAGATAAAACAATGCAGAGGTCAGTAATAACTGCATGGGAAGAGCTTAAAGCTCTCCAGACCTCAGTGTCTAACCAGTAGCCCAGGTGGCTGGGAGGAAAGTTGAAATCCTGGAGATGTTTCTAGAAGACCTTTGGGCGTTTGGAATAACAGACAGGTAATATTTGGCCTAAGTGAATTACTGGGGAGGAGATAAATGCAAAGGCTTCCGAGCAAGCCCTGTTTCTTTGAGTTCCTGTTGTTAATCTTGCACTACTGGCTGCTGACAGTAGGTGTAGCCCCAAGGCTGTGGATTCAACTGCAGGATTCATCTGAAAGGAGATGCTAAAAGAAAGTTGTCACAAATGTTTCTTGAGCCTTGGGAACACTTTGCTTTTCTCCTCATTATATTTTTTTGTCCTGCTCAGTGAGGCACTGAGGCACCTGATCCTTCTGAACTCTTTTGGATTGGCTCCATTTTCTTACTGTTGATGGTCTGTGGTAGCACTGAAACCCCATGTTAACGGATGGAGGTTTTCCAGCCTGTCTGTTCAGATCCTCTCCATATCAGCTGCAACCTGTTGAATACCATAGATCAGATGCAGTCCTTGAAGACTGAAGAAATTGTGTTCTTTGGAAACAGATAATGTTCCCGGAAACCTTCGTTTCTCATTTTTAAAATTAATGCTTAATTTCTCATCGTCTTGCTTCTCTGATAGTCCTGTCTGTGTTTAAGATTCACAGGCAATCTAAAATGTATATGGCTGGTGTGGGCTGGCACATTGAATTTCAAGCTTTTCCTGTTATTATTCTTATTTTCACCTCCCAGTGTCAGAAATAGAATACTTCTTTAGTGCTGTAGTCCTCTGTGTCACCCTAGAAAAGACAGGTTTAAAAACTAATAGCTGAGGATTGTTCAAAGATATTGGCACAATTCTGTGCAGCTATAAAACTGCATCTATAACCTGTAAACTATTGTTCAATAGATCATTCAAAATACCAGTCTTATGTAGATCTTTAAAAATTTTAAGATTGAAGTCATTTTGATTAAGATTGAAATTATTTTTGTAAATAATAACACGCTTTTTTCTCTTCTTCTTTAGTGCCACAAGGTTGCAGTAGTGAGAGAGGATCAGCTGGAAGGTAAGCAGATCCTGAAAATCCTGCTTTTTGGAAACCTGTTTTCTTTGAAAGATCTGCAAAGCGAGTGAAGTTCAGAACTTGCCATCTCATGGAAAGGCCAAATCAAATCACTGAGTTCAGCTGCATGCTCCTTGTACTAGCTTTTTCTTAAAACTTTGAAAATGTGAGCCAGCATCTGTGCAACTTCACAAATGTGGGATCTGGGCCTGATTTTTATGTTGCATATTTCAGTCAGTGACAGTTGTTATCCACCTTCCTACCACTGACAGGCAGCTCTTCCTTAAAGATTTTAGAAATTTTAAATAAATCTCTAGCTTTTCATAAGTGTAGTAGATTGTCAGGCAGCGTAACTACTATGTCACGTTTGCTGAATTATGTGTGCTGTGTAATGTTCTATTTTGCTTTGGAGAGGAAGATTGTTCATGTTTTTTGTATTAGAAGACAGGCCAAAGGTATGACTTACATTTGGAAGAGGCTGAAGTTTGTGATGGAAGTAGAGCTGCATAGTCTAGGACTGGCCCCAAGAAGTTATTACTGTGTGTATTTTTACAGTGCCTAGAAACTCTGTCTGAGAGCAGCGCTCTGTGCAAAGAACAATATAAGCAGTGATCTAAGAAATGCTAAAACAGCCCTTGTGGCAAGGGGGTTACAGTTTAAATAGCATAAAACAGACAAAACATCAACTTGGGCAGACTGCTCCAGAAGACACTGGGACAGTATTGGTTGGTGCTGTGAATTTTTTTCTTTTTCTGCCCTCTTTGGTAGAGTGTAGTGTTAAAGTTGCCACCTGCCTGCAAAACCTGTGCTCACAAAGGGCTTCCTTCTCCTTCCCCACCAGCAATGAAGGCGAAACTAGCCACGCTGGCCAGCGTGCACGTCTACAGCATTCAGAAAGCCTTGCTCAAGGACAGCGGGCCGCTTTACAACACGGATTATGATATTGTCAAAACAAACCTGCACAACTGCAGCAAGTAAGTTGCATCTTGCCTTTCGTCTTGCACGGGGTGATTTGGGGCTGGTGACGTGTTGCTGCGTCGCAGCAGAAATCAAGCAGCAGAAAACAAGAGGGGCCAAATAATCGTGGACCTTCAGAAGGTTAGAGAAAGAGACCTTCTAGGTCATGGCAGACCAGACCCTGGGCAGATGCACTACGTGGCTCTCTCATAACCTCATCTGTTTCCAGCTTTTATTTGCCTTGCTACTCCAACTGGCAAATTGTTCCAAACCCTGTGTTCAGATGGCTAGATTTTTTTTTTCTGTTTTCTGGGCTATACATAATTATGACCAGTTTAAATCCATTTTTTTATCACACAAGAAGAGGAGACTGAAACCATCTTATAAAAATACAAAGTGGTTTGTTCAGTAAACAGCTAACCCAAGTCTTCTGTTTTATGAGATTGCTCTTTCATGCCCTGAGCTCTTTCTCTGAAGATGCACATGCAGAAAGATCCTGCAAGGTAAGACAAGAGTCTGGAGCACAGAGGGAAGATGCAGAATACATAGAGTGACACAAATATCTTTTGTGCTTGACCTAGAGGAAGATTATCCTAGAATTAAGGGGGACCTCAGTCTCCAGAGCGCATTGACTCTTCTGGATGGTGACATTCAGCTGTGGCCACCACTAGTGCAATTGTAACATCTGTCTGAGTGGCCTGAGATCATCAAGCAGCTGTGGAGCAGAGACACCTCATCTGGTCCCCGAGCCTGTTGCTGTCCCCATTGTACCACTGTTACATGTTTTATGCCCCCTCTCTTTTCATACAGAGATATTTAGACCAGGACAGCTTCAGCATGATACCTGCAGTGCCACAACCAGTCTGGTTTCAAAGGGGGATCCCCCCAGTGTAGAATTGGAAGATAGGAATTTAACTGTCTTCAAAATGCTCACAAGAGAATGATTGAGACAAGGTGCTGGATGCTGCATTTTGTAGGTGAATGTCAATAACCCAATAAGTGCCAGAAAACTCTTATTTTGGAGAAGATTTATGTCATTATATTTGACTGTAATTTTGGCCTTGTTCCAATCACTGTTTACCCAAGGGTACCCCTGCGTGGTGATGTTTGTGCCGTGGAGGAGTCTTGGCTTCCAGGTTTATACATCCAGAAGCTTTAGACAATTTGGACTCCAAAATCCCATTTGAGAAGACTGGCTTTGAATTCCTGCTTGGCTTTGGAGCAGAATTTCCCAGGCAAATTAAGAAAAACTCAGTTTCTTCGTTTGCAGCCTGGCCGAAACTAAATTCAGAGTGATCATGTGTATTACTCACCCCTTGAATTGTGTCAGCCGCATGAATCATCTTTTCTGCTTGGGACCAGATTGCTGGTGTACCCACAAAAACACTTAACAGAGGTTTGACAGCGTGCAAAAAATAGTGTTATTGGTAATCTGGAGGATTGGTGGCGTTGCTCTCGAGTGTTTGTGGAGTGGGAGCCAAAGCCATCTAGATTTTGGTGTTAATTGCATTGAAACCAGCTTAAAAGCAGCAGTATTTTCCTCTCTATCTTCTTTCCTTCCTTTAAAGGTTTGAATGTCAAGAGATTTCTGGTGCAGCCTAGAAATGCTGCAGCGATGCTGGTGTTTACTAACACGTCTCAGCTGCTGCTCCATGTCGAGGCAGATGGGAACGGTGCACGTGAGCTGCTAATGTGGTGGCACAGGAATGAATTGGCAGAAAAATGGCTTATTTATGCAAATAAAAATACACCTGGTATTGCAGTGGGTTGGGAGGCACGAGTCTGTGCTTCTTGCAGGGTTTCTGCAGGAAATCGGGAAAGCCTGGCCTGTGATTTGCACAGTGAGGAACAAAATTCAGTTATTTGGGATATATTTGGTAACTGTGAGCAAATCAGTTGGTACTTATATCTCAGTATCCCCAAATAATGACATTTCAAGCTGTTGCCAGCTGGGACGCCTCTTTGTCTACTAGTAATTGCACAGAAATGACTTTATATAATTAAGCCTCTGAATGTCCTGGCGATTTAAGTAAAACTCCACTGAAACCAAAGTATTTACCTGCTTGGAGAGACCGCGACCGCTCGCTGTGGCAACAGTGGGTGCTGTCGGAGCGTCCCCATGTTATGAGTGTTTTGGATCATCCCATGGCAATACTATTCATGCCGCGAGCTCTAGCGAGCGTAACCAGTTTAGGAATAAAATGCAGCTCGCTCCATCCCCACCCTGGGTGTGGAAACGGGCTTTGCTTTTTCCCCTTGCTCCCCGCCGTGACATGGGAACGGCTTGTTGTGCATTCGAGTGCTCCGGCTCTTGCTGACAGGTTCAGCTGATCCTTTCAGTAGCCATCCCCATCCTCCTCGCTCTGTGCCAGCTTTTCCGTCCTGTCCCTCGCACGAATTAAATCGCTCCTTTTCCCATAACAGGAGAACACAGAAGGCGATGAGAACACCGAGGTGAGAAATAAGAAGTTCAAGGGCCACTTAAATTCTCCCTCTATTTCCCAGGTTTAGTGCCATCCACTGCGCCGCCGCGGTGCTCCGGGCGCCGGCCGAGCCTCCTCCCGCGCAGGCCGAAGCAGCCCTCGCAGCAGCCTAAGGGCATCATGGGGATGTTCTCAGCAAAAGCGGCCGCCAAACCCCCCAGCACGACGAAGGAACCGAAAGCAGAGGCGAAGGAGGCCCCGGGTGTAAGTTACCTCAGCCCCTTGGCTTAACTGATTTATTGAACCGTTCTTGCTTCGCTTCTGTTCAGCCTGAATCACCTTGAGCTGCAGTAGCCTCAGTAGCTGCTGGTTTTAGACTTGCTCTGGCTCTAGCTGCGTGTTGCATCTCTGAGCAGGCTGCCCGGAGAGGCTGTGGAGTCTCCTGCTCTGGAGATCTCCAACCCGCCTGGATGCGCCCGGGTGCCCCGTGCTCTGGGTGTCCCTGCTGGAGCAGGGGCTGCACGGGGGGATCCCGAGAGATCCCTGCCAACCCCAACCATTCTGGGATTCTGGGATCTTTTGTCAGTCATCTTGGGGGAACAAAGAATCGTTATGGTTGGAAAAGACCTTCAAGATCACCGAGTCCAGCCATAAAACACAGACCATAAAACAACATATATTGTGCCACGCTCCTGAGCTGCCCGTAGAAGTTTGTGCCACAACTTGGCTGCTCTGGGCCACGTCTCTGGCTGGTGTAAACCAGCAGAGCTACAAAAATGAGAGTTTTGTTCCACTGCCTTTGCTTATGCTGGGATACACCCCAGCTGAGGATCCTGCTTGCTCTGTTGTGCTTAAAAGGATTTGTTTGGAGCAGCAAGAAAGATGTGAGACTTCCAGGTCTTAGTCAAGGTGTTTAAACTTGGTCTGTGAGGGGCACTTCAGAGATTGACCTATGCAGGACTAAAATGTTTATCTTCTCAACTGCTCTTCTTTTTCCACTCCAGGAGGGATTTGTTTTAATTAGTAAAAGTGTTTTTAAAGCACTGGGGCTGTTAAATGGATATTAAAATGGTAATGTGGCTTTATATATATATATATATATATATATATATATAACACAAATGAGTAGGTTTTGGGTCAATTTTCTGCTTTTAGATTGAATTTAGGATTGATGAAATATGTTTGTCTGTGTTATGAAAGTTTCCATATCTGATTGCCTTTTCCCCCATCAAAATAAATAGGATTAGGAGGCCAAACTTCCTTGGGATATATATATCACAAGGAAAAAAAATTATATATATATGTATATATACATATAAAAGTAAAAAATATATATAATTATATATATAAAAGTATATTTTATATATATAACTATGTATATATTCATTTTGGTTGCGGCTATATTAACTGAATAGAGCAGTGCTATTTTTTTCGCATACGGCTCAGCAGAACGGTGCAATGTGCCAGGGTAGCTGGATGAAGGCTTCATGGTTTGGCCAACCTGTGTTCTTTCCTCTGCTGGTTACTGTGAATTGAGGTACTGCTGTTTTGCAAAAAAAAGAACAGTTCTTTACTGGGAACTGACCCAAATCCCAACCGCTTATTTCAGTAACACTGTCAGCCATCAGATGGGAATGGGACCTAAGTTAGATTTGAAGGCATAACTGAGGAGTGGTGAGTAATGTACTCTTGTCCCTTAGATCCATGATTTAGGATATTTAAATTCTCCTAAACCAGCACTGAAATCTAAGTTGTTGACTAACCAATAAAATCTGTGTCCAAAAATCAATTTACTTGCCCAAAATCAATAGTAGGCATTTTGAGGGCTGTGTTTCAAGGGTTCTTGGGGTGCCCTTGTCTGTTTTAGCTAGATACTGGGCTCGACAACACACAATTCCTGTGGTTACTCTTGTCTTTGCTTCCAGGTGTCTACGGCGAGCAGCAAACCACCAGCAAAGGTCAACGTCATGACCAATTTCTTTGGAAAAGCTGCTATGAGTAAGTGCTCTATAACATACAGCCGGTGCCGAAACCCTTGTGGTCAGCCATCAACCATCTGCAGTTTTAAAAAAAAATAGTCCAGAAGAATATTAGAAATTTATTTATTTTTTTTGCTAAATAGTGATTAAAAGTAGTTATTGATACCTGGTATACGGTTGTGATGGGGAGGTATAAATAAAGTAAAAAAGAGCAGAACTCTCCCCCCAAACCATAAGGCTTGAGGCTAGTTGGTTTTTGACTATATTCTCTTTGCTGATACAGTTTTCTATATAATTTCTCTGCCTGTTTGAGCTCGGAGGAGTTAACTTTTGTTATGCAGCTCAAGGCAAAAAATAAAAAGTTTTAAGGGGAATTTTTCTGACAAAAAGCTTGCTGGGTGGAGATCAATTAAAATGACATATTTGTGCAAACTAACCCAGGAAGGATTTTTAGTGCAGAAGAAAACTGATTTAAAGTGAGTACTTTTTGGCTGGAGGATTGGCTATTGGTGAAACGATTGCCAAAACCTGTTATACAGAGTGTCTTAATGACATTTGCTTTTCATCACAAATCACTGAAGAGTCTATAGCTATATTTAGGGTTAATTCCTTCATTGCAAATTGAAGAGCTAATAATCAGAGTAGAAAAATGAGGAGTCTTTTTTCCCTTTTGAGTAAATCTTTGGACTCGATGGCTTCCAGAGGTCCCTTCCAACCTAAATTACTCGAGTCTAAAGGCAACACACTGAAACTGTTGAATAGGCACTGGAAAAGGGCTGTAGGCTTCCTTCAAAGATGCTTTTAGAATAGAAGAGGATTGAAAGAGGAGTTATTGGAAGAGAATAAATGGCAAAATTCTTCGTAGCATCTGTTGGTGCTTGCAGCACCAAGCACACAGTGCACAGCCCTGTGGGGCATCTTGGGGCTCCTGTTCTGAGGAGCCTTCAGACTGAGGGAGCCGAGGACTTCCAGGCCAACCCTTACCATGCAAAGGGCAATCACTACCATAATTAAGTTCCTGAGATCCAAGAAGATCTGCAGACCAAGGTTTGTGTTCAGAACACCCAGGAAAGTGAAGTGGTGACAATAACGTATCGGTGAAGCAGGAGTCTTCTTGGATCTGTTCCCGTGATTTGCCGTGGGGTTGAGTTCTCTGCTTAGCCTCCTCAGGTTGCTCTTTGAGGAAACTTGTGAGCTTCTTGTTGGAACAGAGCAAACGGAGCTGAACTGGAAATGATTATACATATAGAAAAGATAGGTCGGATCCAGGAGGGAGATTTATTTCCTGCATGCTGATATGTCTCTCCTGGCTTCAAAGATTTCGCTCTTGCCAGAAAGCCCCACGTTAACTGTTGAGCCCTCCGCCTCCGAGCTGTTGATCATAAATCAGATAGCTGTCACTTAGGCTGTTACATATGAGATGTTTTCCCCCCCTCAGGGAAGCAGCCAGCCTGTTTGCTGGCAGAAACGTGTTGATGTGACATCTTTTAGCCCTCTAAAAACCTCTACTCCTGTCGAAGTGTAGTTATTGCTATTATTACGTGTTATTGCTGAGTACTTTTTCTTCCCTACGGCAACTTGCCCTTGAGTTGATACAGGTTTCCAGCTCGTCCTCCCTTTGTGTGTGTACAGGTGCTGAATGAAGCCAAGAGGCTGTATTTGGGTACTAGTGTGCCAAAAGCTCTGCCTATTAGCTTGGCAGGGGCACAAATGAACAGTGACACTATTTTACTGCCTCCTAGAGCTTTTCTAGAACCAGTTTAAGCCTCTTAGAGCAGAATTATCCTTGTACATGATGTTGTGTAGCCAAAACAGGTCGATTCTTGACTGTTTTGGGGGTAGAGGAGGAAGAGGGAGCCTGTGTACTTTGGAAACTACTAACCATGCATTATGCTGTGTGCAGGGCCCATGCTGCTCCCATTTTCCTCAGCCCCAATTCTTCTGGTTCTGTGCTCTTTGATGCTTCCCTAAAACCCTGGGTTTAAGGAAGCTGGATGTGCCCTTACCCCAAGGGGGCTGCCCTTTGCTCTCAGCGTGTTTGGGCTGAGGCCACAGAAGGGAACCAAACCAGCAGATGGGCTGGAAATCAATGTCGGTTATTTCTTTTCCATCTCTGGTGAAGTTTGCTCACTCTAGATCCCCTAGTGCTTTTGCCCATGGTCTGTATTGCCTTGTGTTTTCTTGGCATGTGGGGTTTCATTTAGCCAGCTCTTCTGCAAGTTCCAGTTCTCCTTGATGCCCAGTGTTTGCTCATTCTTAATGCTTTATTTGCAGATAAACTCAAAGTCAATTCTGTACCTGAGCAGCCAAAGGAAGAAAAAGAAGCAGTCAAACCTTCAAGTCCTGCAGCAGAACCAGAATCATCCCCCAGCACCACAGCAGAGAAACCTGGGAGGAAAACAGAGTCTGCTAAAATTCAGCAAAAGGACAAAAAAAGGTGGGCAGTGGCTTCAGGGTCCCTGTCCTCTGTTCTGTTAACCCACTTGTTGATGGCCTGGTTGTCCAATGCTGGCTCACCTCCTGTTTCCAGCCACTCACTTGCATGAAATGTGGCTAAAATTCTCTCTCTTGGAATGTTTTCCCAATATTTCTTTTCCATTTAGGCTAGTGCAGTAGATGCCTCGGGGCTGTTTGTGCCCTTGCAATCGGGAAGGGACCCAGGCCAGGGCCGCCGGGGTGCGAGGAGGTGGTGGCTTTTCCATGGGACAACCCTGAGGTGCCAACAGGCTCCGTACAGAGCCCAGGGACACTCGAGGGGGTGGCAGGAGCCCCTGTGCTGCAGGGAGGGTCATCTCCCGAGCTCGTCCCTATGCAACTTCCAGCACACAAAGTTCTGCTTGTTGGTTGCTGCCGCTCTCGATGTCGCCGGTTTATTTTGGGCTGAGCCTCCAAGTAAACTTCAAGTGCAGCCCTTTGTGTTTAATCCAACCCAAACTGACAGAGACCAAAAATCATTACAGCCTGATGGCTCCCTGGTGGCCTGTGAGTAATTAATTGGTGGTCTCAATGGCTTTCTTGCTACCTAGGGGAGCGCACCACCCAGCCCACCATCACGGCTAGCGCTAACTCCTCATCGTCTTGGTCACCTTGCTCAAAAAGCCACGGGCCTGGAAACTGCTCGTTGGCAACGTGGGGCTGGGGAGGCCGCTCGCCTGTCCCAGCTCCGTGAGGATATGTGGGCTTCAGCCTCCAGGCTCGTTAGTCTGCCGCGTCTCGCCAGCATGAGAAAGAAAGGAGCTATTTTATTTTTCCAGTAGTCTTTAAAAATGGCTCCAGGATTCTGAGACACTACCTCATAGGCAGGCAGTGGCGAGCAGGCTGTCAAAGGAGCTTCTGAGCGCTCCTGTTGGGGACATTCGTGTTTGGGAGCCGCAGCTCGAGAGACGAGATCCGTGAGGGGCTCCTGCCAGGTCCCTGTGGCCAAGCTAGGTGAGGTACTTGGCAAAACGCTGCGCCGTAGAGGGGCTGAAAATCCTTGTCATTGGAAGAACTGCATATGGGTAAGGCTGGGAAGCAGAAAAATGCCCCTATGCCTGGTCATATATATGAGTATGCTTCAACATATATAATATTCATGTTTGAGGTGCAGACATATCTGATCTCTTGCCCTCCTTGTGTCCGTTTATCACAAATGTACTTGAATGCACATGTTGTCACGAATACATGAGGGAGAACACGTGTTCATCCTTTTTTTTTTCCCCTTTTTCTTTTCCTGCTGCAGTAAGGTGAAGAGGGTGGACAAGTCTGGTGATGAGGAGGAGCGAGAGCCTGAAAATCTAAAGAAAAAGAGGAGGCGAATCAAGCAGCTCCAGTCTGACAGCAGCGATGACGAAGGTAAAAGATATGAGAACAACCAGGCATGTAGGTCAGGGGCCTGATTTCAACAACATTGCTCTGCAAGGCTCTTGGCCAACGATGGAGGGAAGAGTTTAGAGGATTAAAGACCGTGCAGAGATGGCTGTAGTTGGAGCTTTCTGTTTCTTTTGGGCTGCTGGCACTTGAGCGTGGGGTTGGGATGCCTCAGATGTTCAGTCCTTGTTTTAGCTTCGCTGGGATGTGGCCCTGCCATCACCACGTGCGCCGCCTTGCGTGAAAGAGGTTCTCAAATCTCTCCTGGAAGCCGTAGCGCCTTCCCGAATTATATAACTGCTCATAACCAGCTCGTTTGGTGAGCTGGAAACACTTACATATGACCCCCACCCCCCAGGGGTCATTTTTAGTATCTTTATTCAGGCTGTTTATAGAAATGGTTTGGAAGACGGCGCTGGAAGCAAGATTCCAAAAAAGAGATAATAGGAAAACTGGAGGGAAAACAGTTGAGCCGTATCCGATGCGACTCTGCGTCTCCTCAGTGTTTGTTGGCTTTGATAGGCGTAGGGTGCCCAGAACGTCGCGGGATTTGGGCTCGGAATGAGGAGCAGCAGAGCCAGATCGCAAAGAATTTGGATAATTGAGGTGACAAATGCCGTTCAACGTAGATAACTGGAAAAGAAGTCAGGAACCGCGCAAGGGAATATGTGCTAAATGGAACAGTCATCCAGCAAGCTGATTGGGAAAAGAATTTGGAGATCATGATGGGCAAATAATTGAAACCATCAGTTTGGTGTACGGCTCCAGTAAAAAGGGGTGAAACGGCTCATGGGTTGTGTTAGCAAAGGGGTGGACTCTGGAAGGAGGACTGAAGCTCTTTGCTTGTTTATTGTGGCTAGGACACGAGAAAGGTCTGTGAAACAAAGAGAATCCGTAATAAGATGAGGGATGAGGGTACTACTGGGTATCTAAGGTGGCAAAGAGGCTGCTATTTTCATTGTTTCTTTCTTGCCCAGCATAATTTCAAGTGATCTCTGTCATCGGGCATCCATCACTTCTGCTCAGACTGTTCCACAGGATGATAAATCTCTCAGGAAGCCGTTCGTGATCAGTCGTAATTTCATCACATGCCTTGTGTGCAGCTCCTTGTTTAGCCATCAAAAATACATATGCCCGTGCTCTTTGGTATTTATTTCTTTAAATATTAGTAAGCTGTTATCTGGTCTTTCCATTTAGTCACCACTCAGCCAACCGACGAGCTGCGTTTTGTAGCTCTTGAGCAAGAAGACTGAAATCAGCCCCTTTGGCTGCTTGAAGGGCGACTCTTGAGGTTGGAATCTCTCAGCTCCTCGGTTCCCTGCTAGCAGGAACAGGCAGGAACAAGTCCTTAATTGCAGGTTTGTGGGAGACCCTGTTATGAGCCGTGGTTTTGGGGCTCTGAAGTGTGGCTCGACTGGATTGGCAAATAAAACCCACCAAGCTGGTCCTCTGGTAGTGTTAGGGGTCTACTTGTCTTTTTATACACTAAAGTAGTAGCCTTAGGCATTAAATAGAGTAGAATTAGGGAGACCTCCCTACTTCTCTTGGAGAACAGGGAATTTTACCCCTATCCAACTACTATTAAGCAAAAAGTCTGACTCTTCATTTGGAAAATTGTCTTGTTGTTGCTCTGGCTCTTCCTGCATGAGTTGTCTTTGGAGAAGTAGCTTTGTCCTGTGTGAAGAATTGGCTTTGTGTTACACATTAGAATGGCAGATTTAGGCAAATCATAGTGGTGCATGTACAAATTTGTGTATTATACAGATTAGCCTGTGTTATTTCCTTTTTGAAAGAGCTGAGAGCTGCTCTTTTCCTCCTCCTTAAGTTAAAGGCCATCTAAACCACCCTGATCAGCTCTGCATTAGAGCTTTGCTTCTGCTGTGCCCTCCTAAATGCGCTTGGGTCAAAGGAGAGAGGTTTAAACCCTTTGAGATACTCGGATTGAATTCCCATTGGTAATATATGCAATACTACATACTGTAATCCAGTATGTGCATATAGTGTTAGTTGCTGCATTCCAGCAGAAGAGTAAATATGGATAAAACAAATTGGATAAAACAGATACTTAAAGGAAAAACTGTACAGTGCCCCCAATTCCCCACAGAATAGCCCTGAAGAAGCTATTCTTACCCAAGCATCAGCTCCTTGCATCAAGTTGAAAGCACAGAAGGCACAAGAGGCGATCGTCTCCGTTAAAAATGACTTTTTTCATTAAAAATTTATATTGCTGTGAGGGTGTCTTAGTCAGGGCAGGTTGTTTGGCTTCCAGTGCCAGAATAAACTACACAAGTGTGTCCACAGAGGACAGGAGGGTTTGGCAGCTTCAGCTATACCAACACAGGCAGCGTTTCATCGTGTCGACAAGTGTTTTACAGCCACTTTGGATGGTGATTTCGGTGGCACTGGAACCTCCTAATCCTGTTGCTCCAGGAGCCCTGGAGCTTTTCGCAGTTTATCCAGCAGGCTGGGAGCAAGCTGGACAAAGCCAGGATTTACCTCCTTGGTGCAGCCGGTTGCCCGGCTCGTCTCCATGTCGTGTTGCTGTTGGGGAGGTGTGGGCAGCAGCTACAGGTTGACTCGGGGGTTATCGCCTGACGTGGGGAGAAGAGACCTTCTTTGCCACATCTGGGGAAACCGGTTTGAAGGGGGCTGAAGAAAACACCGAAATTCCCCCAAATGAAACAGTAAAGATGGGAAAAATTATCCTGCAGAAGATTCATCAACCTCTGCTTCGGTGTGGTAGGAGCTGCAGTTTCCAGCAGGCGGTTTTCAGCCCTAGCGTGGACTCTCCTAGGACTTTTCCAATGGATCCGAGTGCTAAGTCTGCCCTTCCCTGCAGCTCCTTGGGTGCTCCAGGCACCTGAGCCTGCAGTTGCCGTGAGCCTGGGATAACTACGAAGGTTTGGAGCTACCTGCTGCGCCGGGCCGGCTGCGGCGCTCGGCACCTCCGAGCGGATGAGGGTTCGGTTTGATCCCGCCAGCTCTTTGCAGCAAGGTGAAACCCCCGAGTCGTGTTATTCCACTCTGTTTGCATTCCTCTCGCTTACTGCAGTAGTTGGGAGGCTGCGTCCTCGCTTGAACAACGGAATTTATGATCCAGCGTTGGCAGCCAAGCACCGTTTCGCTCGAGCCCTTCTTAACCTGCGGAGGTCGCTTGGCCGCGCGCCTGGCACAGCCGTAACTCTTCATGCTGACCTAATCGGTCGGGACAGCTCGGGGTCCAGCCTTGGGGTCACGACGACAGCCCGGACACGGGGCTGCTGCCAGCAGAGGCTGCGAGGAGAGGCCAAGCAGCCCCCGGCCCCCTCATTCCTATGAAGCAACAGGTTGGGTGAGGAGTTTCTCCCCCCACGTTTCCAGCTGTCCCCCGTGTCTCGGGACCCGCTGGTGCTTGGAGAGGCCTCTCTCTAAAGCCTTTCCCGTTAGTCTTGGTGCCTGCAAGGTGCTGCTCCTGCCCTCTGCTCCGTGCTGAGCACACGTTACCCTCCCAGCCCTCTGCCAGCTCCACGCAGGACCAACCCAGCCTTCCCCTTAGCCCTGCAGGTTTTTACTAAGTTCCTGACATTGCTGCCCCAGTGCTGGTTTCGCTGTGCACAGGTTAGTGAAGGTGCCCTTGCCCATTTTCATTACTTCTGGCATCCAAAGGATTCCACTTTCTTGCCCCCATCTGCTGCATATAGAGAAGAACTTGGATCTCCCGATGACACATGAAAGAGTAGACTTAGCCATATTTTTTTCAAATGAGGGGTTGGGATGTCCATTAACAAGATTAGGGTGAGTAATAATATATTGCACTTCATTCTTGGATTAAGGACGTTTCAAGCTAATAGCACTGATTATTTGGGATTTGTAGCACCGCTTGTGAAGCAATGGCTCTTTTACCAATGCTGGGAGGGGTACACAGTGAAATTAAGGTCATCCACTGGGCTGGGAATATGTGGTTTTAAAGCCTGACTCCTTTAATTTCTAAACAAATCACAACGCCTCTTGTTTGATGAGCAAGTGAAACGCATGGCTAAAACTTTCCAGTTTCTGTGCTTAATTTTAGTGCTTTGTTTGGTAGAGCCGATTAGGGCTTCCCAAAAATACTGAATGCCCTTTTCCCCGTCCTGTCCCATCCTTTGGGAAGTGCAGTTTAGACTTCTGCCTGCAGACACACAGCCTGGAACGCTTTGTCCTGGCATGAATAAACCAAAGTGAGGTATCAGTTGCAAACCTCAACCTCAGCACAACTTGCAGGCAATGCCCAGGGTCAGATCAGATCACCTGAGTGAAGTAGTAGCTGCAAGAGGTCGTTGGACCCACGTACAACAAGGCATTAACCTGTGCTTCTTACCAGATGTCCCACCACCTTCCACACCAGAGGAAGAGAAGCCACCGTCTCCACCTCCTGTACCTGCCCTGAAGACTGAGGTGGAGCCTCTATCCACTGAGGTAAAAACATATTTGGGTGTTTATCATATATTACCTGATTCACTGGGGGTTTCTCCAAGCACTTTTCAGATGTTAAATCTGGGGGGAAGGTCCTGCTTGCCTGTGAAGTCCTGCACACAGTCCAGCTTGAAGAAACTAACTGTGCTCACTATTCCATTCATTTTCTAGAACGTAACTTCATTTAAACTCCAGCTTTTCTGCCGACATAGTGCAGTTTTCTGGGATTTTCTTTTTCTACTTTTCTTTGAATCGCGACTTGTATTTGAGCAGTCTTCCCTCTAAACCTCGGCCTCAGGAGTCAAGGCAGGGCCAGAAATGAAACCAGAGAATCCTGGTGCTCAGCCCTGTAGTGCAGAGAAGCTGCTGCCTGAAAGAGGTGGCCTGTGACTGGCAAGAAATGAACCTTGGAGCTGAGAAAATACAAGTACCGTTATTGTAAGCACAGTTATTCCATTACGGCGAGGTTGCTGATGCCTCACACACCTTGTTGTTTTTCATTCTTCGGGGGTATGTTGAGACAACCCCAACACACCCTTCCAGCAAAACAAACTTCAATGTGTCACATCAAGAGTGTCCCTTGTGCTACAGGCAGGAAAAGCTGCTCCCTCCCTTAAGTTCTGTTTTGCCTCTCTGACATTCCTCTTAGTAGGACAGGGAGAATTGTGGCATTGGCAGAAATGAGACCAGGGTAACCTGGGAAGGGCCTGAGTTAGTTACCAAACCTTGTTCAGCCTCACTGAAGAGACCAGATTTAGCTCCTGGTGCTGATGTTCTTATCACCTGGCTGTGTTATAACCCAGACCTTCATTCTGATTTCTCACAATGCCACTTTGTCCTTCAGGTTTCAGCTGGAGGGAAGAAGAGGAAAAGGAAGCGTGTGCTGAAATCCAAGATGTTTATTGATGAAGAAGAAGGCTGCATGGGTAAGATGAGCTCTCTCCTCCACCTTGCTCTTAGAGGTGTGCTGAAGATGTATTTTCCTAGGCCAGGCCTGTCCAAGGCTTGGGAAGAGGTTCATGATCCCACTTTGTTATTTTGCTTTATGTTCCCGGCCTGAGGTAACTGCCCTTTTGGTGCAGGAAGGGTAGGGAGTCATGGACTGAATTTTTTTTTTGGTATTTTGAGTTTCTTCCAGTTCTTCTCTTCCCTCTTAGGAGGATGGATATGTTCATTTGCTCCTCTCCCTCAAGACACAAGCTTTAAAGATTGTACAGAGAGAGGGCAAAGTGTGGAGGAAAAAACTGAGTTGCTTTTGTCTCCAGAGCTGTGCAACACTGATTATAAGTTTTATAAATATATATACTTTTAAGTATCCCAAATAAACTGGGTCCAAGGAGGAAACATTGGGAGCTTAGGTAGGGTGTCCCTGCATGAAAAGGACAATCCTGCTGTTGGAAGGCAAGAGAGTCTTCACACAAGTATTGAGAGCCAAAGGCTTTGGATTTTAGCCTGGCTGGAGAACTGAGTTGGAATTTCAGAGCCTGGCTGGCCTTGAATTTCAGACTGGACATGGTCTCCTTGAGAAGTGACCTTGAGAAGTTGTGTAATAACACTCCTTATTCCTTCCCCTGTATCCTGACATCGAAGTGGAGCTGCAGTGGCTCAGAAACCCTTCTTACAGGTTTTGAGAGGGTGGAGATGCCTTTTAGAGCACTTTTTCAGCCCCACATTGGGAGCTGCCTAACGTTCTCCGGTCCTACTGCCCTGAGTAGGTGACCAGGAGCTTGGCCAGCTCTGGAAGAAGCCCCTTTGCTCGCCAGCTTTGCCATCGTGCACGAGCAGAGGGAGATGCCAACTCGCCTGGCCCAAACCTGGAGCTGCCTGGGCATGAGTCAGCTTGGGTCTGTTTGCACCTGTGTGCACAGTCGTGTCTTGTGTTTCCTATTAACTTTGTATTGTCTCCCTTAAAGAAACACAAGGCCAGCACTCACCAGCTGGCTGTGATAGTGAGTGAAATCTCAAGTGCTGTTGTGTTTTTGTCAAAGAAATGGACTCGTTCAAAGTGGTTGATTGATCTGGCTAGCTTCACGCCGGGGTGTTTTGCACTCACAGCCCAGATAGAGCCATTAAAACACTTGGAAGAAAGAGAGAACAACAACAAAAACATTAGCTGGGGAGTAAAGTTTAACAAGGTCTGTGTGCAGAGCTCGCAGTAATGACAGTTCCGGATTCAGTTTCCAGCAAAATTTTGCTTTTCTCTCTCTATTTTGCCTTTTCCAAATGCATCAGGCTGGGCCGGTTGCCTCTGTTTCTCCCTCCACCCCCCGATAGATTTAATAGTCTGTTGTGAAATCCAGACCTTTGCTTTACAGTTCATATCCACGCTGATTTTATGGAAAAGGAAATGCAAGGCCTGTTGTGCGTTTGGAAGACGGTCCCTGTAGGAAGGAGAGATGGATGGATCCATGATCCAAAGACCTGGATAGGAAGGAGATGCTGCTTTTTGCAGTAAAAACACGCCAGGCTGTTGCGCAGAACTTGCTTTCTGCTTATTGTCCAGCTTCCCCCTCTCCCCCTTTTCCCTGCACAGGGAGGCCAAATAACTTGCAGATCTCCCATGCTAGTGCATATTGTTGTTATCTTTTGAATTCTTCTTTCCCTGATGTCTTTCTTTTCTTTTTAAACAAGGACTAGTTTATAGAGATGTTAAATCCCACCATTCAGATTAGGCTGTACTTGCATTTTCTCTGTGATTTTTTTTATTTATTTTATTTTTAAGGATTGTTTTCACAAGAGCTGCAACAACAAGGAATTGGTGTCAAAAAGCAAAGCTAATTTAAGGTTTAGCCCTGAGGGGAAATTGAGCAATTAAAGCATATGTGGAGTCAAGCACTGGGCACTGTGCATCAGCTAGGACACAATCAGCTGAGTGCACGCTCACAATCCATAGCAAAGGGGGATTGCTGAGGTTAAAGCCACTGCATTTCTACCTTGCTCTTGCTAAAGCCTGAAACAGCACACGTGGACCTTAGCTTTGGAATAAACATGTCTACATTGCAGGTAAATTGGTCACACAGCACTGAATTTTAAGCCTAGAGCTCACACATTTGAGTGACTGATTTAAGGCTGTGAGCTGAGCCACTCTGTATCTTTAACCCTATTTGCATGCTCTCACCTGCCTCAAATACCAAGTTTTTGATCAGGTGAGTAAAAAAGGGAGTTAATCTAAGCCGTGTTATCTTGCAATTTGGGTGGATTAAGCCCACGCCATTGGAGTTGCCAGCAATTACCAACGTGGGGGACACTCAGTGACTTTTAAAGCTCAGTCACTGGCTGGTGGTCTCTTAAAGCTGCTCCTGGAAGCCAGTTGCCTCTGAAGTTATGTTAGCTTGGATTTATAGTCCCTACTTGAGTGTTCATTAACACCGAGGAGCAGGATTTCATACCATTTCTCTTCCTAACCTTTGATTACGTAGAAACCCTTATGTGATTTGATATATTAATGCAAGTTAAAGCTAGATTCCCAGAAGTAAGGAAGTTAGGACATCTGTTTAGAAGAATACAGTCCCTCATGAAAAATGACCCAGGAGAAGAATACCAGAGCACTTCTGGGAAAGCTGGGATAGCAGCATTTCCTCATATCCCATGGCTTGCAGCAGTGAAGCTGACTCCACTTTCAGGAAGCAGTACCTTATATTCCTTAGCTTTCCATATATTGCCTTATATTCCTTAGCTTTCCATATATTGCCTTATATTCCTTAGCTTGCCACGGGGGCAGTGATGAGCAGGCAGTCCCATTGGGAAATGGCCCTTGATTTTGGCAATGGGCTACTTTTATTTTTGAAAGCATTTCTTGATATTTGCCCTGCTTGAATATAAAGGTCTTGAAGCAACGTGTGCAGGCTGTAAAAATGGATTTCTAGGGGGCTGCTGAGCCATTTTCACAGATTTTGAAGAACTGGATGGCATTAAAGCTCCCAGGTCATTAATCTGCCCTCTGATGTTTAAGAAGAGAGGGAGATTTGACCCAGCATAGAGAAGAGCAGTCCTGAAGCCCAGTCTTCTAGACTCCAGTAGTTCTGAATCCTGTGCTCATGCATCTCCTGCATAACCTGGAGGAAAGGGACTTAATTCCTTGTGCCTGGCATCTCTTCCTTGAACCCCACACGCTCATTCCTGGTGTAGAGGGAAGGCTGCAGCAGAGAAGTCACCGCTCGTGAGTACAAAGCCTTAACCATTATCCTTAATTTATTTATCTGTTTATTTTTATTCAGTGACAGAGAAGGTTTACGAGACCGAATCCTGCACAGACAGTGAGGATGACTTTGCCAAGGCCAAACCAGCTGCCCCCAGGCAACCCGCGCCCGCCGTCAAGAAGGAACCAAAGGAGGAAAAGAAGAACCCAAAGAAGGGGGCAGCCACTGCCACCAAGGCCAACAAACAGGTCTCCATCATGGGTTTCTTTCAGAAGAAATGAACTGGCTCCTTCCCCTGCCCCCTTTGGCAGCTCGGAGGAGTTGCTGTTTGTGCAGCTTTCTGAGAGCTGCCGCGTTGGAGGCGAAAACTTGCAATCTGCTCTTACGTAAGACACTCTGCTTACTGTGCAAGGGAGCCCTTTGGACTGGATTCTGTACGGGAGAAGTTTTATCTGTTAATGCAACGATTTGTCTTTATACTAAGCTCTGCAGAAACCTCCAGCCATGATCAAAACCTAGAGGGACTCTTGGAAGACTGTTAATCTAGTCACATGAAATTTTATTTTTTTAATACGGCCTTCTATGTGTTCGGTGCTGAAGGCCCCTTCCGTGCGTGGTAGAAGGACTACGTTAGGACTCAAATTGTGGCTTTTTTTTGTTCTTTTGTTGCTTTTTTTTCCCCCCTTTCCTTTACACCCCCTCCAGCTCTCCAGACTGATCTAAGCGTTCGCCCTGGTTAGACCTGTTCAGTTACAGCCTCTTCAGACACACACACAATTATCAAACATCTGCTTCAGCTTTAACTGAATGAAATGCACTTGATTTTCCCCATAAGACTGGTAAATAGCTTTTGCTGTGCCTTTCATAATCTTTTTTTGGACAGAGCAGCGCGTGTAAAACTTTCTTACTCCTTTCTTCCTTGAATACATCCTCTGTAAAATACTCGGACGCCTAATTATAGCCTGGGCCACTGCTGGAGCCCTGTCTTTGCAAAAGCACCATGAAGGCTTCGCACACAATTGGCCCTGGTGTCACTGGGGGAAGGTCTTCACTGTTATTGAGAAAGTGGTTGTGTCTTTAACCTTGCAGGCTCGTGAGGCAGAGGGAAGGGTGCTCAGAGGACTCTCCTCGTAGCCCCAGGCCCGTCCCTGCCCTCGGTGGCCGTGGCAAATTGCACGGCCGCTTTCTGTTATTGGTGGGTTTGGCTTGTGGGAGGTTTTTGCAGGTGTGAAGCAGACAACAGGAGGTGTTTTCTAGGACTTCTGGTCATCTGCCTGTTGAAGGAAGTGTCTGAGAGCGAATGAGGGGCGAGGAACTATTGGAGATGAATAAAGCAGTGCACTCTCCTCCAGCAGACCTGTCAGCCTGGATGCCTCTGTTTTCAGGTGCTCATTTGCTACATACAGACCTGTTTTTGCAGAGAATGGAAGTTTGGTCTGTGAAGGTCTCTCCGTTGGACAACTGATGCCCACAGTGGTTGCTGCCAATGTTGCTAGGCCAATATGTAACTTTTTTATGATCCAGAAAGTGGTTTTGGTTGGTGTAAAGGTGGGTAAAGCCTGGAAAGGGTGAAGCAAAGAGGAAATAGTCTCCAGGAGCCCACCCAAAGCTACTCGGATATGCGGGATGGAAAAGAGCCAGCAAGCTGCTGCTATCTGCATGGTCATTGGGGCCTGGGGACCACGTCCATGACTCGAGTTTGAGGACACCCTCCATGGTGACCAGCAGTTGTTTCTGTTACATTAAGTCACATTGTCCCTGTGTTCACAGCAGATAGGAGAGCACCAACTAAGAGCATCAGTGTCGGCCTCTCTGCCCATGTCCTCAACGCGTGGATCCAGCCCTGGCTCAGCAGGTCAATGCAGTTAACAGCATAATGTGAGAATTTAAACCTTGGGCTTTCCCTCGTGGGGGATTATGGGGAAAGTAACAGCAGAATGAGGCAAAGAATTGATGCCATCTCCACAGCCATCCACAATCAAGGGCCTGGCACAGCATCTGCTCAAATATCTGACAGGGGGAGTGGGGAGCCATTGGGAAAGGGGGAAAAAAATCTTGGTTTAATTTCTATAAAGACCATTGTATCTGTCCCAGAAAAACAGCACCCTGCTTTTTCTGTTTTCCTTGGGAGAGCTGGGAATATAATTTGGAGAGTAATGTTGTATAACAAAACCTATTAAAGAGAGATTTTCTTTTGTCTTTGCTGTTTGTGGAAAGAGGTGCTACCCCCTGGCTTCCAAAAGCTGCTGTCGTTTTTGCCTCCGTGGAATCGCTGTATTGAAGCGATTAAGACCTTCCCTCAGAAACACGGATGGGAAGTGCTACCCCCTGGCTTCCAAAAGCTGCAGTCATTTTTGCTTCCGTGGAATTGCTATTGCTGTTTTGAAGCGATTAAAGCCCTTCCCTCAGAAACACGGATGGGAGTGTTAAACTGAGCATTTCAGGGAATCCCACCTGTGGCTGGACAGTGCTTCCGACTATCACGGTTTGTGCTGGATGCAGTGGGCTGAGGGATGTCACAGGGCCCATTTCCCCCCGAATGTCCCCTCCTGTCACCCTCGGTGACAGAGCCCCAGTGCTTTTGCTTCAACCCTGCTCTCCTCCCTCCATAACCCAAGCAAAGTCACACGCAGCTTCCTCAGGAAAATGACTTAATGTCTGAACCAGGACGTGGGCAAACTGCAGCCTTCCAAGATCATGATCTAATGCTCGCCCCTCCTGCACTGCAGGGCCTGCCAACCCCCAAGGGCCCTTAGGTCCCTGGATGCCCCCTCAGCCCTTGAGGAGGTGCCTGGAGTGTCCCCAAGCGCCGTGTGGCCTCCAGGAACCAGGAGGAGGCCCCTGAGCTGAAGACTAAAGGAGAAGATTCCCTCTTTCCACACATGCCATGCAGATCTCTGGGTGCTGGGGACCTCGCGCCTGCAGGAGCTGGGACATGTTGGTGACAGGAGGGGACATTCCCAAGGGGAGGTGGCAGCGTCTGCCCCCTGCTCTGTGCTGGGAGAGTGGGGGAATCCACCTGCTTTTGGGAAGTGCAACCAGCTTCATTTGGGACCCGGTTTGTTCAGGAACCTGCTGCGGGGCGTCCCGCTCACTCTGAAGAGTGATGTGGAGCAGGAAGGTCTACGTTTGGCTACTTGCTTGCGAAATTTTAAGGGTTTTTTTGATAGTTTTTTTGTTTGTTTTTTTTTTGCTTTTAGCTAACACAAATGAATTTTGCACTGCTGAGGCTGGGGAGCAGAGCCCAGGCCCTTGGATTCATGTCCCACAGTGGGGACCAAGGTTGTTCCAAATGCTCCTGTCTGTGCCCTATTCCCATCGTGGCCTCTCCAGTGACTCCTGGGGCATGGACCAAGGGCTCTGCAGCAGGACCTAGGCCCAGCTCAGCAGGCCCAATTGGGCCCTTCTGGGACCCAGGGACTTGGGGTGGGCGAGACACAAAATATCATGGGAGGTTCTAGGCAGTGGTGACAACTCCAGGCCAAGCCCAGGCCCTCGGAGCAGATCTGCTGCCTTGATATTGGCTCAAGTCCTGATTTTGCTTGGAGTTGCCCTCTGAGATCCCTGCATGTCCTCTGGCTCCAAAACCTCCCTGTGGGGCTAGGGATCTTGTAGCACTTGCCCTTCCCTGGGCATCTCCCTTCTCCTGCCCATGGTGGGGGCAAGACCTGAACACTTGTGCTGTGACGGAGAGGCTCATGGGCCACATTGTCGTCCAAGGAGCGTTTCCCAGCGCCGCTTTGCCCAAGGTCCCTCAAGGCACTTTCCCAAGGGGACTTCATCCGTCCTTCTCTTGCAGGTGGAGAGAGAAGCGGGAAGAAGGAACATCACCCAGCGCTGCTGTTGGCCCAAGGTGCTCCTGAACCCCACGTCCAGCACAGGAACGTCGTGTCAGTCACCCGAAGGAGCTGGGAACCCTCCTCCGAGGATGCCGTCATCCTTCCTTACGCCAGGCACCTGGAAAGCTGAGTTTGTAGGTGAGCTCCCAGCAAAGTCCCGCGTGGCCAAGAAGCGCTCGGAGCCAATTCCCACCTCGGCGCCTGCTCCCACCTCAGCGCCTGCGTGGTCTCTAGCTGGTTAAAGAAACCTGGCGCCGCCTTTAAGAGCGATGGCCAAAGCAGAGCGGAGGAGGGGGCCGCGGAAGAGCCTCCGTTCTCGCCCCGTCCCGACCCCTTCTGCTCCAGGGAGCGCGCGGCGAGCGGGTGCCAGCGCGCCGCTCCGCAGCGCGCGGAGCTGCTTTTTTGTGGACCTGCCCGAGGTGCTTGGCTGCGTCGCGAGCGCGTCGCGGCTCTCGCCGCGTGCGTTGCTGTCCTGCATCCTCTGCACGCTCCCGCCGGAGCGTCTCCAGCCGGGACCCCGTATCCCCTCCAACTCCCCTCTGCTCCGTTTTCCCCCCCGTTGTGCTGTCAAACCCACTCCCTCCATCCATGGGGAAGGTTGACCACTTGTGATGGTCACCCCCTTCCACCCTGCAGGAACCGGTGGTTTCCAACCACGACGTGCGTGAGGAGCGGGCGCCTTCCCACCTCTGCTCTCCTCCCATCGCTCCTTTTACCAGTGCCCCCATTCCCATCTGGCCACATCCAGCAATTTTGGCTGTCCCCCAGCTACTTAAGAGTATTTAAGTTTGCAGGGGTTAAAAACAGCCTTGTGTGGTACAATGCTGCTGCCTTTCTTCTTTTTAAGGCACAGAAGGTCAAAGGGAAAAATCAGTTTTTGTGCATGGCAGGTGGTGGACGGGAGCCCGTGTCTTTGCTGTTCTCCTTCGTGCCAAGCTCACCCTCGCTCTTGCTGCCTGCACATTTTCCTCCTCCATCCACTAAACACGATGCCTTAAAGACTTCAAATGTCCTTCTTGCGGTGGAGAACTGCACGTCCATGACCCACCATCCACAAGGAGTGGTGAAGACAGGCAGCTGGGATAAGGTGGTGACTTGCTTGGATGAACACTGAGGCTTTTTGAGGTATTTCATTGGTTCCTTTCTGTTATTTCAAGGGAGAAAACAGTGACCGCTCCTGCTAATCTGGTTTTTGGGGTTCAAATAGCCACCTAGGAGCCTAAGTAGAGCCTGTCTGGGGCTACTAGCGAGGGAATAGTGGGGTACCAGGCTAGCTGGAGCCATGGCTGGCATCCATGCAGGACCCTGGACCATAATCGGCCCTAGTTAGTGTCCATCCCACTAACAGATTTGCTAGAAAACAGCAAATGTGATTTTAGGGGTGGAGTGGAAGATGCTCCAACATCTTCTATGTGACACTGGGAGCAGCTGTGTCACCCTGTCCCTAAAAGGAGTGAGCGGAGCAA